GAGTGTGGCTCTTTGGTAGTCATCAGGCCACGAAGCTGGCCCTTTCTGGAAAGCCATGGATGTCGCTGATGAGAAAAGGTGATAGGATGGATGACTCACGTGTGTCCCACCTCCCTTTACATCCTTCAGATGAGTTCTTGGCCACCTTCTTCAGGAATCACTTCACATCAGCTGTCACCCTCTGCCTGGGTGACAATCCTGTCACTGCTTCATTGACTTCCAACCCCAGGCAGAGTCCAGGTGCCTGAGTAGGAAGGGGCACCAGAGTTGCTCATGCTCCCTGAAGAATGGCAGCCAGTCCTGATCTGGGCTGCAAGTGTCCTGGTGATGGTATATTTGACAAATGACTCAGTGGGGGCCTCTCATCCACTCCAGGTTCCAAGCATGTCCCCCCACAGAGGTTGCCATCTCTTGGGGGTGGCCTGTCAGCCATGGTTTGGAGGAATGGACCTGTAGGAAGGAGAGATTGATTTCCCAGGATCACCACCCCCACCACCCCCACCACCCCTACCACCCCCACCTCCAGCCAGGCCTCACCTTTTCACTTTACACTGGGCTCCTGGGCTCCAGCAATTATGTAACCAATCTTTTTTTTTTTTAAGAGAGAGAGAGAGAGAGAGATTTTTTAATATTTATTTTTTAGTTTTCAGCGGACACAACATCTTTGTTTGTATGTGGTGCTGAGGATCGAACCCAGGCCTCACGCATGCCAGGCGAGCGTGCTACCGCTTGAGCCACATCCCCAGCCCTATGTAACCAATCTTGATGTTCCCTCTCCCTAGGATGTTTTTCCTTTCTTCTCCCTTTGTTGAATACAAAATAGTAACAACAACAATAGTAATTATCATTTATTGGGCTCTTGGCTATATGCTAAGCACTTTCGACTATGAAGAAGATAAGATGTACAGTACTGGTTGTAATTCCAGATAGAGTACAGGAGCAGAAAAAGTTAAGGTGAAGCAGAGATGGTGCACAGGTGAGGGGTGTGAAGGTCAAAGGTGGTGCATCTGGCCCTGAGGGGTTCACAGCAATTCAATGCACTGAAGGCATCTTTGTTCTGTGGGGTCAGCAGGGTGAGAAACTGTCCTTGAATAATGAGAACAAGCAGGGAAGAGCAGTAGAGTCTGGAGAAACAGCATAGAACACATTGTAACACCCTAGCACTGGATGACCCAGTGCCTTCTGAGCACTTCTTTGGATTACTTCCAGATGGTTTAACCCAGAAAAAGCAGCTGGATTTGAAAAGTGCCATGAAGTCTGTCCCACCCTGAGCTTCATTACCTGTGAATAACTATTCTTTTCGAGGCAAGTCCTCATCGGACAGTCATTATGGCTGAGAAAGAGACTTTTCTAGGGCTTGGATAAACAACTCAGGGGACCCCACCCAACAGGATGGAGGTGGCTGGCTTTTTTCTAGCAGAGATGGTGCGCAGGTGAGGGGTGTGCTAAGCATATAGCCATCTTATCTTCTTCATAGTCGAAAGTGCTTAGCATATAGGCATGGGGCATTGTCCAACTTGACAAAACTTAAAATATTCAGTGATTTTCAGGCTTCAATGTGCACCACAATTATCCAATGGGCTTATTAAAACACAAAGCTAGTCACTAATGATGCAAAATGTCTGGAGTGAGACTGAGTGTCTGCTTTTCCTATTCTGTTTTGGTTTTGATTTTTTAAAATTTTTAATTCATTTTTAGTGGTACTGGGAATTGAAATCAGGGGCACTTTACTGCTGAGCTACATTCCCAGCTCTTTTAATTTTTTTTTTTAAGAGAGAGTGAGAGAGAGGAGAGAGAGAGAGAGAGAGAGAGAGAGAGGATTTTTAATATTTATTTTTTAGTTCTCGGCGGACACACATCTTTGTTTGTATGTGGTGCTGAGGATCGAACCCGGGCCACACGCATGCCAGGCGAGCGCACTACCGCTTGAGCCACACCCCCAGCCCCAGCTCTTTTAATTTTATTCTAAAATAGGGTCTTGCTAAATTGACCAGGATGACCTCAATCATGCAATCCTCTTCCCTCAGACTCCCCAGTTGCTGGGATTACAGGTGTGTGCTACCATGACCAGAAGAGTCTGCATTTTCAAATTCCCAGGTGAGCTGATGCTACTGGTCTAGATAACACACTCTGAGATTCACTGCTTTGATCCTGAAACAGTGTGGCTTTAAGGGCCTTTGCAAAAGAGATTCCCCAAAAAATATGTCCTTCATGGCTATCTTCAAGCTCTTGCTCCATCTCCCACCACTTGCTCATACACCCCATCTTCCATCCACACCTGATTTCTAGTGGTTCCCCAATCCCTTCCCACTATATTGCATTTCCATGCCTTTGTTTTTTTAAATGAAGAACCAGGCCTGGGAATTTAGTTCAGTGGTAGAGCACTTGCCTACCATGGGTTCTGTCTGCAGCACTGCAAACAAGTAAATATATTATTTATATTTAATATTATATAAATATACAAACCATAAACAAAATAACATAAGAATTATCCCTAATTCTGGTACCAAGCAATAATAACCACTGACCTTTGAGTGTTCCTGGTAAGAAAGATCTGAGTGAAAGAAGCTCCTTGGTAAGTTGCCAGCAAGTCACTCTAGAGCAAAGCTTGCAAATAAATCTTTCAAGTGGCTCCTCTTAAATGCTTTAGTGTATGATAGGCATCATGGCCTCAGGAAAAAGTGGTACAAGACATTCTGTTCTGTCACAAGGATCGCCCTTTTAATGAAGTTATATCAACTTTTACAATAACACCTTGTATTTATAGCATTGTATAACATTTTTGCATTTACTATCTTATCTGGATTGTTTGCTGAGAGTATTCTGACTTGTTTAAGGTCTAATAACCCAAAATTAGGGTTGAGCTTGGGTCTTTTGGTTCCCGACAGCTCTTTACCAATGGCTCATAGCTTATGACTACAGTGAGGTCAAGGCTTTCTGAGAGAGTCTTTGACAATATTAATAACACTCTCTACCATTCTAGCAGTTTCTTCTCCTATAGAGATGCACCTTTCCCTGCTCTGTCCCCACTGCCAAATACCCTGGTGCAAACACCAGGGAGTTCAAAATCCTCACCTCCAAGCCACTCTCTGGTGGCTTATGTGCCCTGGCACCAGCCACTGCTCCCCCCACCCCCACCTCTTAACTCTCAAAGGTCTTCACAAAGGAAATAGTCAGAAGCAGATTGATGGATGGGGAAAGATAGTGGAAACTTATGGAGACCATCAGACCCAGGGGTCTCTGTAGTTAGAGGCTTAGAAGCCCCTCCAGATGATATGGATGCTGCCAATCCCAAGACCACACTTTAAGTAGCATGCATGTGTCTAGATCTGGAAGCTGAATGACCTACATAGTAGGAGCTCTAACTCTCACTGCCCAGTCACAACCTGCATTCAGTCTGTTCTCATATTGGTCTTTTTGTCTATCTCTGTCCATAATTGATTTCACCTGCCCCTGCCATGGATACCAACTTGAGCTTTCCTAACATGCCCTGGAAGAACTGAGAGGATTAAACAGAAAAGGTTGTAGGGATATATAAACATGAACAGTGAAAAGGGATGTTGTTGAAGCTGGGTCCTGGATTCGAAGACAGTTCGTTATTGATTCTTGTCACGACTTATGTATGTTTTTAGATTTCCAGAATAAAACATTCCAAAAAAAACTCAGAATAGAATAAGTCCTGCAGATAAGCAAGAACTCTTGGATTCTCCATCCATCTTTGTTTTAGAAAGTTAAAAGGACATTCTTTTTTTTTTTTTTTGAAAGAGAGAGTGAGAGAGGAGAGAGAGAGAGAGAGAGAGAGAGAGAGAGAGAATTTTTAATATTTATTTCTTAGTTCTCGGCGGACACAACATTTTTGTTGGTATGTGGTGCTGAGGATCGAACCCGGGCCGCATGCATGCCAGGCGAGCGCGCTACCGCCTGAGCCACATTCCCAGCCCAAAAGGACATTCTTTAAGTGCCCCACTCATATATAAAGTTTCCTTTTATCAAATTCTCTAGCCCACCACAGTGGTTCCCTTCCTTCCTTCCTTCCTTCTTTCCTTCCTTCCTTCCTTCCTTCCTTCCTTCCTTCCTTCCTTCCTTCCTTCCTTCTTATTTTTTGATTGGGTGGGTGGTAAAACAAAGATTATATATGCCCCTTTGTTTTTTCTTGTAGTAAAATACACATAGGAGCTGAGGTATAGCCCAGTGGCAGTGTGCTTACCTAGCATGCTTAAGGGCCTGGGTTCCATCCCCAGCAACACACACACACACACACACACACACACACACACACACACACTCATACACACAC